AGACAGACACTCACGTTCTTTGATGCCAAGAACTCCATGCCTTTGGCCACCTGATAACTGAAACCCACGAGATCAGTGTAGCTCAGAAGCGGAGAATCACTGATGACCAGAGACCGATCCACCCTGTGACCTGTGATAAACACACACTCATTTGATCTGATTACAAACACAAAAAACATGCAGTGCCATGGTATTTTTTTTATTATAAAGTTCTGATAACTTTGTGTTTATGTATAAAACAATGACAAATACTGTATCTGTCAATGGGGTCAAAAAATTATCTTAATTCAAAAGGAAAACAAGTTTATTTTTCTTAACCCACTGACATTTTATTCCTGTTTTAAGCACTTAAGTCACTTAATATTTTAATATTGTGAATTAGATTTTATTTTTATATTTTAATAATTCTGTTGTGTTTTTCCCCATTTTAATAGTTTTTATGAAAATGAAATGAAAAATTTTGTGTTATCAACTAGCTAAAATGAAATAAGTTTCAGTTTTTTATATTTTATTGCAGATTACATTTGTTACAGTTTTTATATTTTATTTCAGATGACATTTATTTTAAAAATATATATTTTTCTAATCCCATGGACAGATTTTTTTCCATTTTTAAGTATAAAATCAGTTAATTTACAAGATTTTAGTATGTTTTTAAGTTAATATTTTAAATAAGATTTTATTTCTGTCATTAAATTGAGTTAAAGTTTCAGTAATTTAGTCTGTTTTTGTATTTTATTTTATTTTTTTAAATACATCTCTATAGTATTATTACTTTTTATTTCTTAGTTTCAGTTATTTTAGCACTTTCACTAAAACAAGATTTAATAGTAAGTCATTTTGCGTCTCAAGTGAATATACCATGATTTAAGAATAAATAGATATTTCTACTGGAAAAAGTCAAAAGTACTAAGGAATAAAATATTTTTGTTTCATGAGGGTTTTCTATGATTGAGAGGAGCTGAATTCACCCTGACATCCTCTCAGCTCAAATTAAAACATCTCAAACAATAAATAAATACAAAAATAATCAATGAGACTTTTAGTCATAATATTTAAATTGTGCAGAAACCTCAAGTGTTTCATGAAGTTCAAGGCACATCCTGTCAGAGGAGGAAGTGAAACTTTAATGAGCATCAGTTATGAAAGAGATCTCTATGTCACACAGACGGTGTCTGTGCTCAACCTGAAGACCTTCACAGCAACACAGAGCCAAAGATCACACAGCGAGGCATGATGGGAGCTTTAGTAAAAAAAAGTTTAGAGAAGCTTCCAGTACATCAGCACAACAAGACGAGACTTACAGTCTTAAGGCCCGTTCACACCAAGCACGATAACTATAAAGATAACGATAAAGACATAGTTCTAAAAATCGTTATTAAAGAAATATTAAAGAATAGCAGAGTTCACACCACAACTATAACGATAATGATACAGAGGAACGATATCGTTGTGATCACTTTCAAAATGATTTTTTTCCAGCTGATGAACGATAAAACACTGACAGCCAATCAGAATCCATCCTGCTGTAACAAGCTCAAGAATTTAAAGCGGCAGACGTGCGTGCGCTTAGAATAAACAGACGATATCGTTATCTTTATAGTTATCGTTCTTGGTGTGAACAGGGCTTTACACTATGCTTTCAACTTCCTCTGAATCACCACAATATCACAATATTAAAATACAAATATAAATATAAATATAAATAAGGGCTGTGATGAATCAATTATATGCAAATTCATGTAGATAAACCAGGTGTGACAGTGCTGATTATAAACCCTGTGACAGTCATTTCAGCAAATGAATGTTTTAAATATCGAAGAAAACTGCTTATTGTGATTAAATTATAAAATATATAAAACTGTGCATTTTTAATTGCATTGCTTTTTTAATAATATATTTAATTCATAATTTTATATAGGTGTCTAAGGTTTTCAGGGTGGTTGCTATAGGTGTTTCTAAGATGTTCTGAAATTGTTCATTGTGATTATTATTATTAATAAATGCAATGCAATTAAAAAATGCAAAGTGTTATATCATTTATATTTTAAATTAACATATTTATTTTTGATTATTATCAATGTTGAAAGCAGTTGTGCTGCTTCATATTTTTTGTGGAAAACGTGATACATCTTATTTTTCAGGATTCTTCGATAAATAGAAAACTCAAAACAACAGCATTTATTTAAAATAGAAATCTTTTGTAACTTTATAAATGACTGTACTGTCACTTGATCAATTTAACGCGTCCTTGATGAATTAAAGCACTAATTTCTTATTGACCCCAAACTTTTGAATGGTTGCCTAGCAGTTTCCACATAACATTGAAGCAGCACAACTGTTTTCAGCATTGATTATAATCAGAAATGTTTCTTATAATTATTATATAATATATATCATTATTTATATATTTTATAATTTACATTTAAATTCATATATTTTACATATATTATTATATTTTTATGAAATAGTTTATTGTGACTATTATTAATAATAAATGAATAAAAAAGCACAGTTTTATATATTTTACATAAATTATAAAATAGCATAAAAGAGATCTGCACTTTTAATTACATTGCATTTTAATATATTTAATTTATGATTGCATAATGTTATATAGGTGTCTATATAGGGACTTTTTTGAAATAACTGTGTATTTTGATTATTATTACTAATAAATGTAATGAACAATTTTATATGTTTTATAATTAATATTTCTAATTTATGTATTGAATTTATAATTTTATATAGATCTTGAAGGTTTTCTGGGTGGTTGCTGTAGATGCTGTTCTAAGAAGACTGATTAAATCCCAGTAACGCTGATCTTTGAGAGGCTTGTAGCTGTAGTTGATCTGAATGTCTGCAGGCAGCGGGTGGAGTATGTACCTTGCTCCTGGTAGATGTCTTGCTGGTAAGGAGACTCGTAGGGTGATGGCTGGATATCTGCGTACTTGATGGTGTCCGTGAGCTCCTGCATCGGCACGTATTCGGTCTGCTCGTCTTTGGTCATGTCCATATATCCTCCATCACGCTCGCTGCCAAACGACACGTATCTGCAGAGCACAGATATATGACCTGATTACATTCGGATTTCTTCATCACATGCTCCAGTTGAGCATGATTGATATTTACCATAGTATTTCATGTTCATTTTAAACATACACTACCGGTAAAAATGTTGGAATATTCTTCTTCTGCTCACCATTTCTGCATTTATTTGTTTAAACATGCAGTAAAAACAGTTAAAATTATTATTAATTAAATAGCTGTTTTCTATGCAAATATATTTTAATATGTAATTTATTATTGTGATGCAAAGCTGAATTTTCAGCATAATTTCTCCAGTCTTCAGTGTCACATGATCCTTAAGAAATCATTCTGATATGCTGATTTGCTGCTCAAAAAACATTTCTGATTATTATTAGTGTTGAAAACAGTTGTGTTGCTTCATATTTTAGTGGAAACGGTGAAACGTTTTATTTTTCAGGATTCTTTGATGAATAGAAAGTTCAAAAGAACAGCACTTATTAGAAATAGAAATCTTTTTTAACATTATATATACACCTTACTGTCACTTTTGATCAATTTAATGCATCCTTAATGAATAAAAGTATTAATTTCCAAACATGTTGAATTGTAATGTATCATGGTTTCCACAAAAACATGAAGCAGAACAAATCGGCATAGTAGAATGATTTCTGAAGGATCATGTGACACTGAAGACAAGAGTAATGATGCTGAAAATTCAGCTTTGATCACAGGAATAAATTACATTTTACAACATATTCACATATGAAACAGTTATTTTAAATTGTAATAATATTTCACAATTTTTACTGTATTTTTAATCAAATAAATGCAGTCTTGGTGAGCAGAAGAGACTTCTTTCAGAAACTTAATTCTTCCAAACTTTTGACTGATATGTGCAACAGAAAAATGAAATCACATGTTCATTCGTCTGTAATGCACTCTTACTCTTTCCCGGTCGGCACATCGCTGTCGTTACAGATCTGGCTGCCGTTGGCGGTGTGGTTCTTGTCGGCGTAGTACTGGAGGAAGCTGTGCTTGTTCCTGTGCAGATAGTCAACCAGATCTCCAAAGCGACAGTATTCTGTCACCAGATACAGCGGACCTGCAGAGCAAATAAATAAATACACAATATACAACAAACCTGAAAAGAGCACATCAAATTATTTGACCTAAGTAGTTTAGCAGCTTTAAACATCTAGGACAGTTTGACTGCTTAACCCCCTGCTGTCTGCTCACCGTGTTTGGTGCAGGCGCCCAGCAGGTTGACGATGTTGAGGTGAGGACCCAGATGACTCATGATCTTGAGTTCAGACATCAGAGCTTGAGTCTCGCTCCTCCGAGCCGTCGCTGCAGTGAGCAGACAACATGATTAACTACAACTATCAGTCACACTCACATACGTGTGTATGTAACCGAGTGTCTCGCACGCACATTTCAGCATTTTCACTGCCACTTTAGTAGCGGATTGGGAACGGCCGAGACCGTACGCCGTCGCCTCAACAACACGCCCAAACGCTCCAGATCCAAGTGTCCGACCTGAAGAAACACACACATTTCAGTATAAAAACATATGGACAAGGGTGTTTTAAGCTTTTGCTAGGAAGCTGCTAAATAGTTGTTAAAGGAGACCTATTATGGCCCTTTTTACAAAATGTAATATAAGTCTCAGGTGTCCCCAGAATGTGTCTGTGAAGTTAAGCTCAAAATACTGTACCCCACAGATCATTTAATATATCATTTTGAAAATGCCTATTATGAGTGGAAGCATAAACACGCTGTTTTCGTGCATGTCTCTTTAAATGCAAATGAGCTGCTGCTCCCCGCCCCCTTTTCCAGAATAGGGCATGCGCATTAAATATCGCATGCGATTTATCGTGCAGCCCTAAACCATATTAGTTTAAACTTCTGATATATGGTTCTCTGAGCGCACACATCTGAAGCACGCGCACAGAAAGCGGCTGTCACACGGCATGTGAGTAATAAACTAAGTTCTTTCACATCTTATTGCGCTTAAACTGTCAAACACACACAAGTTTATGTTAAAAACGCGCACAAGTTACAAAAATAGGCGGGTTATGTCTGTGAAGGTAAACAGCCGGGAAAGAAATTGCATGTTTATATCAGAGCTGTGTGGCAGCAGTTGCTGATACTCTGCTAAAAAACATCTGTTTCAGTGTTGCCAAGTCTGTGGTTTTCCCGCGGAATTGGGCTACTATAACACTGTTGCCGCGGGTTGTTTTTGATGTCCGTGGGTTGGAGCGACCCCAATAACGTCATATTTAACCCCTGAAATGAAAAAAACCTGTATTTTATCCCCCGGAACGTGATTTTTAACAGGGGACCCCCCTCAAAACGCGACTGGGCTAGTTTTGAGTAGCAACTGGGCGGTTTTGTTGTGAAAACCTGGCAATCCTGATCAGTTTGGTTTTGATTATCATGTGTATCGCACTGAAACCATGCGTTTTAAACCATATTAGGGCTGCACGATAAATCGCATGCGATATTTAATGCGCATCTTGTCAGTAAAGCCGGTTCTGTAATCAGCGGTAAATCTCCATCACCTGCGGGCTTACACATTGAGCAGCATTAACTACACAGAGCCATTGTTCACTGACGAGGTGCGCAAAAAATTGCGCGAATATGAACGTGGTTTTGCTCAGCTCGTCAGTGAACAACGGCTCTGTGTAGTTAATGCTGCTCAATGTGAAAGCACGCACGTGATGGAGATTTACCGC